CTCCTCTCTCACCCTGCTCTGCTCTCCAGCCTCCAGGGTGCTGCACGACCAGGTGGACCTGCGCCTGGCGGAGCGCAGCGAGAGGCCGACGGACTGCGTGCTGCACCGCTGGGGGGTGCAGAACGGCACCGTGGGGGAGCTGCTGCACGTGCTCAACGACCTCAAGCTGCTGCGCGCCCGAGACATCATCCTGCGCTGTGAGTCGGTCGCGAGTGCGGAGTTCGTGGACTTCGCTGGCGTGAATAATTACCCCTCTGAGGAATGGATGCCAGTGCAGAGGCTGTCAGGGCTGGAGCTCTCTGGGACCGGGAGCGAGGGTCTCTGCTCTCACACATTTGCCCCTGGATAAGGGTATCTGCTAAACAAAGATGTAAATAATCGCTACATGCAATCCGGCCTCGGCAGCTGCATCTTTCAGGCAGAACTAATCTTGTTTTGAGCCGCTGTACACATCGGCGGACTGCTGGACTCCAGAGAGCAGATGCACACTGAAACAAAGAAAAACACTTTATCCTTAAAGCCCGAAGCAGTAGGTTTTCCTCGAGTCTGTGTCGGGCTGTGGACTGGGACCTGCTGTGATTCACCCGCAGTTAACAGACTCCCGGTCCACCACGTCAGCTCCTGCGGCCCCCTGCTGTGTTTGGGTCTGTTCTGGCGCAGAGTTCTCCACTGTGCAGTAGCACGGAGTCAGCTTACAACAGGCGGCCTCCTGCGGACAAGTTTGTTTCCTTGAAGCCTGGAAGCAGGTTTGATCCCAGGTGACCCCGAGGTAGTTTGAGGCCAAGAGGCATCCTGAAGTAATTAAAGAGCGACTGGTTATTGGCAGAAGAGTAAAGACCCTGATGATGTTCGTTGGTGCTGCAGGACTGTAGCTAAATGCAGAGATGAACTCTTCCTGCTGAAAGCACTGTGGTTTGCCTTTCTGTCCCTGGGCCCTGTCTCATCAAGCGCCCTGGCTCCAGGAGATCACAGGACACGCCGAAAACCTTGCGCCCGCACACGCGTGCATGCACACACGCACGCACGCACACACGGACACAGACACACACACACCTGCACGCACGCACCCACACCCACAAGCACACTGCAAGCGCTTGGCAGCCAGTTCAGCCAAGAGGTGTTGGTGTTTGAGTCACATGGTTGCTCTGTGGGGTTTTTTTCAGGTATTTCTATGAATACCGTTTCGGCTCGTAGTGTCTGCGGTTGCTTTCTGTGCTTCCTTGCACACTGTGCCAAACGACGGGGTCAGATTTTTTTCTTTCACATGTGACGGAAAGAGAAAATTATTTTAAAAAGCTCTCTGTGTGAAACCGTCCTCTGTCCCCCCCATATCATGACGATGGGTCCTTAGCCCGATGGGGGACTCCCGGATTGACATATTTTTAATTCTAGGGAGCCCGGTGCCCCCCAGTGACCGACCAGCCCCCACACCGTGGCCACAGCCGCCCCCCAAGCCCAGTTTTTCCGACCAGCTGTTCAGCCCCCCTCTGAAGGACCAGCACCAGAAACCCCAGAGTAACATGGAGACCCGCCCTCTGACACCACCAGGTACTGCCCGTGATGCAGAGGGGGATGGGGGTGCGCGGGAGGGTGCGGGGTGCGTCGGCTGACAGGGTTAACCCCTCGCTGTGCCCGCCGAGGCACTCGTTTGTCTTTGGAGTCTGTTTTCTGGTGCTCTGCTGGTTCAAGGCCTGACCTGTTTGCTTTCCTGTCCCTCCAGTGCCAAGGCCTCTGCCCAGACCTGGGCCCCCGCCTTCTGCTCTCAGGACGGACGGAGAGAAGCGGCTGGAAGACCTGGACAGTCCGCCCAGACCCCCGGAGTGGCCCACCGGGGTGGGAGGGGTAGGAGAAGGGATATTGGGGTCCGGGGAAGACGGGCACACACAAACATCCATCCATCCATCCATTTTCTGACCCCTTCATCCGGTACAGTCGCTGGGGAGCTGGAGCCTATCCCAGCAAGCACCGGGTGCAAGGCAGGGCACACCCTGGATGGGACACCAGTCCGTCACAGGGCACACGCAGACACACTCACGCCAGTGCCAGTTTTTCCAGTTAAGCCAGTTAACACACCAGCATGTCTTTGTGCGGTGGGAGGAAACCAGAGCACCTGGAGAGAACATGCAGACTCCACACAGATAGCAGCCCAGGAATTGAACCCAGGGCTCCAGTGCTGTGTGGCACCACCGTGCCACATGGGAAATGACCTCCTCAAGTGTGAAACTCATCAGATGTTCTGGTTCCTGGTTCTTTGGGAGCAGGGGTTGCACAAACAAGCGGTGCCGCTTAATTTTCAGGCTTTTTTTCCCTCTTCCAGCCCCCCACCAGTGATCCCAGCTGTGACACCCAGCTGGTGCACAGCGCCCTCTGCTGGCCGCTGGAGGAGGTGCTGCGCGGGACGGAGAATTTCTCCAAGCGGCTGTGCATCGGCGAGGGGGGCTTCGGCCACGTGTTCCGCGCCACCATGAGGAACACGGACTACGCCGTGAAGAAGCTCAAAGAGGTCAGGTGTGGGGGTCGGGGGTCGGGGGTCAAGGAGAATGCACTCTTGTGTGCCTGGTAGAGCTCAGTCTGGTTCTGTCTGATCTGCAGCAGGCCGCTCAACAGTCGCTCACAGTCAGACAGTAAAGCCTGGAGTGGCTCACACAGCTCTGCAATGGGAGTTTTGCCTGAAGTAGCACAGCCATTGGTCATGTTTACTATACTGGAGGGTTAGTGTACAGAAAATGCTGCGATTTGCAGGGAAACCAAAACTTTTATTGTTTTTGGACGTAACATGTTAAGAAAATAACGAAGGGGTTGTGTAAGTCAGGGGTTCCCAGTGCTGGTCTTCATTGTAGCTCCATAGTTAAATTAATCCTTAACTGAACCAGCAGGTTGCTTGGATAGAAACTTCACAAGTTTTGTTTTTCTACTCAAAGCTGGGAGATTTTAAGCTGATTAAGAAACACAGTCGGTAAAAGATGATCTTCTGTACGTTTAGTAGTTTAGTTGTAAAAAATAAAACAGCTCAAAAGAAACCTTCGATAACTGAGTGCTCTGGGTGAACAAAACCCAGCCGGTGTGAGGGACCCCGGTATTAGGAACCCCCGGTTTTTCAGATCGCAAGAGGAATAAGAATCTGTCTCTTTTTGCTGTTTTTTGAAGTCTCTGCGTACAGCTTCCCAGGCTGGTTAGCCAGGGTGAAGCGTCTGCAGCTTGGGCTGGGGCTCCTTCACTGCGGGGGGCTCTGTAACCCCCTGGGGGAAGCTGTGGGTGGGGGGTTCTCCTGCAGCCCCACAGGCTGGGCCCCTGCTTCCCTGGTGTACTGACCGTGTACTGGTCCCTTCTTCCCTCCCCAGGACTCGGAGATGGACTGGAGTCTGGTGAAGCAGAGCTTCAGGACAGAAGTGGAGAAGCTCACCCAGTAAGACCTTTTGACCTTTAACCCTCACCCGCTCCTTCCCTGCGATTCGTGTGAGAACAGGGGGCGAAGCCGGTCAGTAGGGCCAGGAGAGAATCCTGTCTTCAAATGCCCTCGGATTTGCGGAAGATACCCTTCTAGATATGCAAATTATAGTTACGCCAAATGCGCGGCCTGACTGGTAGGGGCCGTGTCGAGACGTTTCAGAAAGCTGGGGCGGAGTTGCTCTGCCTGCGCTTTCTTCCCTCGCTCCCCGCGAGAGCCTCGGGTTCGAGAGCCCGTGACTCGCTGGCGCTGGCTCTCTCTCTTACTGCCCGGGTGCCTGCTGTTTCCAGGTCGGGTTGGGGTTCTCCGGTCTTCATCGTGATAGCTGTGTCGGCCTGCCTTGAATTTGCTGGAAATTAACCTGGCCAGACATCCACTTCAGATGTTGATGAAGAAAACGTATGGTTTTGTACCACATCAGCACGCCTGCAGCTCTGCGTTCTGACTTCTGTCCCTGGTGCCTTGTGTCCCCTGCAGATACCGACACCCCAACATCGTGGATTTCGGGGGGTACTGCATGGAACGAGGGGTCTACTGCCTGGTGTATGTGTTCATGCCCAACGGGTCGCTGGAGGACTGGCTGCAGAGCAAGGTGAGCCTGGCGCCGGTCGTCTGTGGCCGGACTGGTTTGTAGTGTCCAGTCTGGCTGCGACCACAGCACTGAGCTGTCCACAGCCTTGGACCGCAGGGCTGAGCCGAAACGCCCCAGCGAGCAGCGGTGCTGCAGTTTGACGTCCTGCGCAGAGAGGTGGCGTCTGTAGTGTCACGAGTGGGAGGCATCTAACAGTTCTCAGGTTCAGCTGGAATGAGGCGCGTTGTGGACGTCTTCAGATCGCCTTCAGATCACCGGAGTGTAACTGTTGACTTTTTCACCTGGCTGGTGACGTGTGATCTGAAAGAATTGGGGAAGTGTGCAGTTAGGTCGGCTGGTTTTCCTTCTACGAAATTTCCCTCGCCCTCAGACTGCGAGTTGTTGGGACAGGAAGGCCGCGGTTCGAGTGTCAGGCCTGTGGGTGGAGCATGAGTCGGTAACTGTCAGCACTGAGATCGGACTTCCGATCTCAGTGTGCTCCCAGGGACGGGAAGAGAATGATACCAGGACCCGGGACCCAGTAATAAACGGCACCCAGCAATAAATAAAGTTGCCAACTGCTTCATTAATTCAGTGATGTGAGAGTTTTTGTTGACTGTTGGCAAAATTCCTGCTACTTCCCATATTCTTCTCCTTCTGTCTTGGAAGTAAGAAACTTGACTTGCTGTTAGATCTTATAACCAGAATATCCCGTTGCAGAAGTAGCTCTTAAAATTAAAAAGGATTTTTTTCTAAAACGGGCAGCACAATGAGGTGCCAGGCACAGCTGTTCTTGGGTCCAGGGGTAGGTTTAGACTTGGGGAACCTTCTGCACGGAGTTTGCATGTTCTCCGTGTGGCCTTTGCTGGAGGTAATTTCCTTCCGCAAGGCCTGGCGTTAAGGGTAGCTGCCATCTCGACATGAACTCCACGAGCATGTGCCTGTACTTGCGTGTTCTTGTGTGTGTGTGTACGCGCGTGTACCCTTGTGCGCGTGTGTTCGCGTGGGTGTCCTGTGGTGGACCGGAGCACAGGGTGGAGTCCTGCCTTCCCCCGTGTGCTCCTGGGAGCACCTCCGGGTTGCTGCGCTCCTTTCCTGGAATGAGCATCCTTCCGTTAACTGATGGATCTTGTTTTTCGGCGGTTGTGAACTCATTTCCACAAGAAAGAAGTGTTTTTTCCAAATCGAATCATCATCCGGTAGTATCGCGGGCATGATTATTCAAAGAGACTGATTTTCGGAAGGGACAGGAAAGGACGAAAACTAGCCAAGGGGCTGAGTCCTGAGGGGATGATGACGTTCGGCGTGACGTTCTTCTAATAAATGTGGTTTTCAAAGGGGGGACATTATTTTCGTGTGTTTGTGAAACTGCAGCAGATTCACAGGCTGCAGGGTAAGTCCCTTCCACCCCCAGTGCGTTCTTTCCTGCTGCCCTGTGTCGGGTCAGGTGGGTGAGGCCAGGAATCCCCCTCCCTCGCGCGCTGAGAGCTGCGGCGCCTGTGTGCGTGACACTCTTCCGCCATTCGGTCAGCAGTCGGCCCATCATGCACTGTGCTTAGCGCTGCCCTGGAGTGTTGCGTGACGCTCAAGGACACTGCAGTAAAGGGTTAGATTAAACCAGCCCCATTTAGATCAGGGGCTACAAATGCAGTTTATTAGTGATTCACCCACGAAGTCTATGAAATGACACCAGTGTGGTGATAACCAGCTTTTAAAGATTGGATTGATGTAACAAAACACCCTGACCGTGCCCATAGGCTTAGGGTTGTGGGAGTGTGGGACAGGCAGATGGGCAGAATGGGCTCGTCTCTTGTGTGACCTTTCACCTGCTGACCTGCACAGGCTAAACTCCGAGGGATCAGCTCCCCCTGTCCTCACCCTGCGTGAAAAGTGAAAAGCTGGGACTGGGGCTGGAAGCAGTGCAGAAGGCGGAAGAACTTTGTGTTTTTGTTCATCTAGGAACGGATCTGGATCGTCAGACAGACCTTATCTCAAAGATTCCTAAGCTGCTCTCTGAGTGAATGATGAGATAAAGAGATAACAGCTAAACAAGCCTCACGCTGGGGAGGGGGGGGGGGTGGAGGTGGAGGGAAATTCCGATATTTGGAAATATTGTCGCTTTGGGACCATGGTCTTCTTTCAGTCTTTCGTTGTCTTGTGTCCTGGGGCTCAAGTAGCCACAGAGAAGTCCAGCAGACGCTGCGCCCCATTAGGACGAGTGTCGTGACTGGCGGTGTCGGAGCATGCAGCGGAAGTCACGCTCATACAGGCGACACAGCTCTCCTCACGCTTACTTCACACGCCTGTGTGAGCCTGCGGACACGTCCCGCGGCCGGCGCCAGGCCGCGCACAGAGACGGTGGAAAGACACGAGTCTCACGCCGGCTTTCTCCTGCTTCTTCTTTAATGGCGTGTAATGATCCCGGCGCTGTGTGTGTGTGTGTGTCTCGCTCCCCTCCCCAGACCGGCGGCGCCCTTTCCTGGCAGCAGCGCGTCCGCGTCCTGCTGGGCTCGGCCAAGGCCATCCAGTTCCTGCACGAGAGCACGCCGGCGCTCATCCACGGCGACGTCAAGAGGTGAGCAGGGCGCCGCGCATCTGGGTTACTCCAGTTCTTCGCTGTTTAAATGGGGTGATTTGATCCATTTTAAAAGGACGTAGGAACATTTGATGTTTGTGAGACTTAAAGCCGTTGCCGTGGCGCCCATCGGGGTCAGAGAGGGGTCACGGCGCCGGACACCGTTGCTGCCGGAGCTCCGGGTGCCGGACAAGGTGGGCGCGTCTCTCGTACACCCCGGAAACCGAGCAATGTCCGGGCGCGGCTCTGGCACGCTCAGCTTGTCGCGTTCCGCCAAGCGCCTGGGGCCTCTTCCTGGGCGAGAGATGTGGAAAAGATCAGAAGGTGCCGCCGGCGAGCTGGGGGTCGAGCAGTGAAACGGCCCCGGGCTGATGCCAGGCCTGATGGGAAGCCGTGGGTCCAAGGCTACGCGCCCTCTGCTGGCGGGGTCTGTGGTCCAGAGAGGCGGTGAGTAAACGTCATGTCGCTGCTTGCAGTGCTGCTACCAGCAGCTCTCTGGGGTCTCCCTCTCTATCTCTGTCGTCGAGACGGGGGAGATCGCGAACGCCCCTCCAGCGTTTGTTACGCGACGTGCTGCATTCGCCCCAGATTGGCGCCTGGTGTTCGTGGTGTGGCCCACACAGGTCCGTCTGAAGTGGGACGAAATTGACATGCCTCCCTCAGATACCGTTTAAGGCAGACATGCGAAGCAGCACGATTGTGCCGAGCACATTCACGTGACCCCCGACCCCCGACCCCCGACCCCCGAATCCCGAACCCCGACAGGACCAAGGAGTGTATCGCCAAGATTCGGTTACGTGTCGAGCTGCGCGGGGCCCGTGGGAGAAAGGGACAGTGAGGCCTCCAGGGATGCTGAAGTGAATTTAAGGCGAGAAAGGGAAGTGTGAATTTGAAGTGAATTTTAGTCGTGTGGTGGCTTTGGAAATCTGCCGTTTTTTACTTGTGAGCGAGTCAGCCAGACAGGGGGGCGGTTGAGGGCGCGAGACTCGGAAACGCGCAGGCGGGGAGGCTGAAAGCAGACACAGACGGGCTCTGAAAATGTAGGTCACAGGCTGGTTCTGCCAGAACCAGGGAGGAAAGCCTTGAGCCTTCCCTGTGTTGACTCACAAGAGGTGACAATGCAGAGAGAGCTGCTCTGACTCTTTACCTTGATCTGACTCTGTCTCTGATTTCTGTCCCTTGTTTCTTTCTCTCTCTCTCTGCTTTCCTCCCTCCTCACAATTCCCCACCCCAGTCGCTCTGTCTCAATTACCTCCTCTAAAATCTCAAATTCCAATTCAAACAGCTTTACTGGCATGGGCGGTAAATTACAGTGTGGCCAAAGCACATACAATCGATATAACATCTACAGACATTTACATACAACATACAGTATAACACATAGATCATTGTAGAGAGACAGGCTCACTGTTGCTCAGGCTGTGACAGGAGATCACGGGCTGCCAGCTCAACAGAGTTCCCTCTCCCTGCTCTGCCAGTAGGATCGGGAGCTGTTGTAATCCTGTGATTCTGGTGTGGGAATTCTACGGATTTGATTTGTCATTTTGGGGGAAGAATCTTTGTCTAATCCCAGAATATTCACCACAGTGCAGTAGGAAGTGCATATCTGTCTTTGCTTCTCCCTGCTGGCAGTGGGAGCACAGCCTGTCCTCTCTGGACAGGCAGGTTTGCCTGTGTCCAGTGTCTATGGCCAGGCTGTGGTCACTGAGCCTGTACTTCAGCAGGGTCTGTTTCTTCTTGCTGTTTCTTACCCTGGTCAGATATTCAGCTAGTGTGTATTGTCTGTTTAGGGTTCTGTGGCATTCCAGTCTGTGTTGTGTTTGTGTGTCCCAGTGGGTGAGGTAGTGTTGTTTGGTTTGTGTTGTGATTCGAGTGGATTCAGCTGTGCTGTCCTGAGGCTGGTTGGCGTCAGTGAGTTTCATGACCAGCTGGCTGAGGGGGCTCTTCTCCGGGCTCAGCAGGGCCTTGTGATTGTACGAATTCTGGTCGCTGTTTCTCAGGAGTGCCCAGTACTTGATTGCTCTCTTCTGTATGCCGATAAGAGATGGGTATTGGCCTAATTCAGCCCTGCACGCATGCGTTTCTAGGCGTTTTTCTCTGCACATGGAGGATGTTTTTCGAGATCTCTGTGTGCAGAGATTCGATGGGATGTTTGTCTCTTGAAGTGCGATCCTGGTCCCCCTGTCCCGCCCTCCATCTCTTCGCCCTGTTCTGGCTGCGCTTTCTTCCTGATTGCCGGTGTTTCTCTCCCTGCCCAAGCTCCAACATCCTGCTGGCCGAGGGCCTGGAGCCGAAGCTGGGCGACTTCGGGCTGGCCCGCCTCTGCCGGGCCCCCCCGGTCCGCGGGGCCGCCACCAGCTCGGTGGTCCGGACGCAGAAGGTGCGCGGCACGCTGGCCTACCTGCCCGAGGAGTACATCCTGACCGGAGAGCTGGGCGTGGAGATCGACACCTACAGCTTCGGAGTGGTGAGGGAGCGTTCCTCCCCAGGGCTGGCAAGGAAGGGCACGGGCATGTCTAGGGGAGTGTACTCGTGGAACAGGCAGTGGCATGAAATGGGGGGTGCTGGTTTCGTGGACAGGGTCTATATTAATTATAATTAGGTAGCTTGTTAATTCAGACAGCTGTGTTGGTAGTCCTGTGTGCCACGAAGCAGTACCCAGTGAAGCTCGGCACTGGCCAGCACCTGGATGGGAGACCTCCTGGGAAAGCTCAGGCTGCTGCTGGAAGAGGTGTTAGCGGGGCCAGCAGGGGGCACTCACCCTGCGGTCTGTGTGGGTCACAGTGCCCCCAGTATACTGAGGAGGACACTCTACTGTGAAAAAGGCGCCGTCCTTTGGATGAGGTATAAAACTGAGGTCCTGACTCCCTGTGGTCATTAGAAATCCCAGGGTGTTTATCGAAAAGAGGAGGGCGTGTTTCTGTACTTACTGCGCTCCATAAAGACTGAAACCAAGCACAACTCTGCTGATGACGTATCTCCCACTACAGCATGCTGGCTAGGAAGAGGAGCAGGTGGCAGTGCAGGTGACACACGTCGGTCTGGTGCCTAGGAGTGATGTGTGAACCTGGCAGCCTGACTGCGTGTTGTTCTTCTCAGGTGCTGCTGGAGCTGCTCACAGGGCGGAGAGCACTGGAGACTGACGGCACCTCGCGGACCAGATACCTGGTGAGAGCTGACTGCCCTGCGCTGTGCTGTAGTACACTGGACTACACTGCACTGTGCTGTAGTACTCCTGGACTGTGCTGTACTGTAGTACACTGGAGTACACTGCATGGTGCTGTAGTACACTGGAGTACACTGCACTGTGCTGTAGTACACTGGAGTACACTACACTGTGCTGTAGTACTCCTGGACTGTGCTGTACTGTA